CTGGGTGATCTCACCAATTCATGTGAGGGGGAGAATGCCCAGAGCTGTCACACCAGCTGATAGAACAGATAAGCTCTTCTGTAGTAGGGGGGAGAGTCCTGCCACACCTGTGCAGGTCCCTTTATCTTACTTTGTTTTATGGCAAGAGCAGCTTTCAGATGAACTTGGATTTTTTTTTTTCTTTCTCAAAAATTCGTTCTGCTGTATTGCCCCACACAATGATATCATCAATGTATTGCCAGTGTTCTGAAGCTCCACCTTTTCCTGTGCAGTCTGGGTCAGTCCATGCCAGATGGTTGGGCTGTGTTTCCACCCATGGGGCAGTCAATTCCAGGTATACTGGACACTCCTACAAGCAAAAGCAATCTTTGGTCTGCACTCTGCTGCCAGAGGGACTGAGAAAAATGCATCAGTGATATCAATTGTGGCACCACTTGGCTGCCTTTGACTCCTGCTAATATTGGAATTCCAACACACCCAGCACGGCGGCACTCGGAGGCAGCGTGACTTCATTCAGGCCACGACAATCCGCTATCAGCCTCTACTCCCCATTAGACTTTTGCACTGGCTACATGGGGCTGGTAGAAACATATCAACTACATTTGGATGGTAATAAAATGTTGTAGTTGCCACCCATTTATAGAATCAACCATAAAAATGCAAGGTTGGAAAAATATGACAAAAACCACATATTAACAAAATTATCATTTGGTGTCTCATTATATAGTTATAACATTTCATTTTCATTTAATGAAATGTCTCTGATTGGCTTTCTTTAGTGGTGGCTGAGCAAGCAGTGGAGTCATTGCTATGAAAACTCCTGTTTTTTCACTCTTGAAAGCTGAAATTAATGTTATAATGGATTATAACTGTTCAGCAACTGGATTATTAATGTTCACTAAGGCACCCATTACTCATTTCTGTGAATGAGTACTGAATATTCCCTTATCTCTTTTTCTTTATCTGCAACATTTTACAATTAACATTATCCTTCTTACACAGGTATGAAACCATTATCAGCTTTCTATTATTCCTGCATTATATTGTTATTGGGGTACGTTAATTTTTTTGGATTTTTTACTTTATTTTTTTCTTTAAAAGTCCTTGAAGAGCTCATTCTCTTAGACCATTTAAGGCTAACTAATTCTTGATACCTTTTGAACCTCCATGAGCACTTCAAACTGAAGTACTTTTTGCTGCTTGCTGTAAATACTGAACATTTCATTGCAGTCTTAGGTGACTTAGTAATCCAATCAGAAAATTAAGAACTGCTGCTGCTAAATTACTCATGCAATTCACATTTCATTATTGGCTGCTGAACAAGATGTTTCAGTCTCACACTTTAGCTATTACTCAAGTGAAAGCTCTAATAGTTCTGCTGATATAATAATCACAGAATCACAGAATGGATAAGGCTGGAAGGGACTACAGTGGGTCATCTGCTCCAACTTCCCTGCTCAGGCAGGGTCATCCCATAGCACATGGCACAGGATTGTATTCAGACAGTTCTTAAATATCTCCAGTAAGGGAGACCCCACCAACTCTCTGGACAATCTGTGCCAGTGCTGAGTCATCCACACAGTAAAGTTCTTCCTCATATTCAGATGGAACTTTCTGGGCATCAGTTTCTGCCCATTGCCTCTTGTCCTGTTGCTGGGCACCACTGAGCAGAGCCTGGTTCATCCTCTGACCCCTCCCTACAGACACTGACAGACTTTGATGAGGTCCCCTCTCAGCTGTCTCTTCCCAAGGCTGAACAGGCCCAGCTCCCTCCAATTACCTCTCTTGCTATCCACTGGACTGCTCCAAAATGATGACCATCACTTTTTAAAGGACTGTAAAAGCAGGTCACTTGGGCCATGGAGTTTTGGGCATATGTGGACCAGCATGTGTACAAACTGTTGCTCCAGGAGATTTAGGAGATATTCAAGCAAAACTGGCCAGTCCACTTTGACGGGCTTGGGATGAGGGGGTGTAAAACCAGATAGTTTGGCTGCAAATTACCCATGCAGCAATGTTTTATGTATGCAATTCAACTTTTTCTTAACCTTACTGGGTAGTTTGATTGTCAGCCTAGATGTGGTCAAAGGATCAGGTCCATGTTTCATTGACAGTAAATGAAAAACTGGCATTGGACAAAAAGGTGTCCAGATATTCTTCTGATGTCCTCACTAAAATTAAAAATTCTTGTAATTCAGAACTAAATTTACTACCCATTACATAACACATAAGGAAGCTCAAAGAGATCAACACATATATTCATAGACTACAGCTGTTTCCTCTGTTTTGAAACTGAATTAGGAAAACAGTTGTTTGAAACAACAGCACTACAATTATGCTAAGGGCTTTATTGAATTTTATTAAGTATTACATACAATATGGTTTATGTAATAATGTAATAAAAGAAACATATCAGCTTTGAAACATATCAGCTGTCTTCAAACAAACCTCAATCCCAAAACTGTATCTATTCTGTTCTCTGAGCTCTGTAAGGCTACTCCACACAGATGTGTTTAAAACAATATAAATGGGGCAAAACATTTTGAAAACCCTCAGAGAATAAAAAGTATTCATCACAGAAACAGGAACTATAATGTCAGGCAACTTAAACTGGTTTCAAACTGTTTTAGAGAAATCAGGATGCTACTCACAGTGTTACATTTAATATTTGTGAGCAGTGGCTCCAACCTGGCTTGCTGCTTGTTTTGTTTAGACAACTAGTAAGATCTAGCAATTGCACTGGTTGCCAGCATTCTGCTGAAACCATATGGTATGATAAGAATGTTGGAGCCTGTGTGCCCTTATGCACAGAGAAAAGAAAAATGAGACAAATAGCTGGAATAAAACACTTCAGTGAAGAGAGCAGATTGTAGCTGATGGTTAGAAAGATGATCTTTGAACTAAAGCTGCATCTGAAATGAGTTAAAACCATAATAATACATTTGAATTTTTGGCTGATTGAAAAAAATTAAAACTTTCCTCTAGGTTTTAGAAAATGAGGAGGATTATTATCACCAGCTGTACTTAAAGGACAAAGGGTAAATGTAGATCTATGTAGTTCTGACTGTTGTTGGCAGAAACCTTAAGAAATTGGCTGCTAATGCCAACATGTTCTGCTTTGCAGGCAGTAACTCAATACACATATTTATGGAAGGCTGAATGTTCCCTGTGTCTCATCACTTTCATTATGTTTGGCCCAAAGAGTTCAAAGCCATAAGCTGTATTTCAGAAATTATATAAATGAATAAGAAAGACTACAGTTTATTCTTTTAACTTGCTCAGTTGCACCCACACGTGACAGCCTGTCCAAGTTTTGCAAATTAACATGTTTTGGATACTGCTGAAAACTGTGAGACATGTAGACATCTCACTTCCTCAGTTTCACATTTTTAGGGATTGTTTTCAAGGAACACAAGTGAAACCCCGATCCTGTTTCTACTATTGGTGAAAGAAAAGCTTCAAGTAGTTTCAAAAGCATAAGAAAATGAAATGCTAGTTTTTAACAGATACAACATAAGCAGAACTGAAGTCACTGAAAGATATAAACTCAAATGGATTGACATGTTCTCCTTTAGAAGGAACTACAACAGAAAATGGGCTTTTAGGGCTATAGGCTGGATCCATGGGCCAAGACCAATGTATGAGGTTCAACAAGGCAAAGTGCCAGGTGCTGCACTTGGGTCACACCAGCTGCATGCAGCACTGCGGGCTCAGGGAAGAGTGGCTGGAAAGATGCTGGTGGAAAAGGCCCTGGGGGTGCTGGTCAACAGTGGCTGAACAGGAGCCAGTGTTTGCTCAGGTGGCCAAGAAAGTCAATGGCTTCTGGCCTGTATCAGCAATAGTGTGAGAGCATTGAGTGTCGCTCTGTACTCAGCATTGGTGAGGCCACACCTCAACTCCTGTGTTCAGTTTTCAGCTCCTCCTGACAAAAATCACATTGAGGTGCTGCAGCATGTCCAGAAAAGGACAACAGGGCTGGGGAAGGGGCTGAAGCATAAGTCTGATAAGGAGCAGCTTATCAGAGGGAGCTCAGGGTTTTTAGCCTGGGGAAAGGGAGGCTCAGGAGGACCTTCTTGTTCTCAACAGCTGCCTGGAAGTAGGTTGTGTCCAGGTGGGGGTCAGTCACTTTTTCCAGGCAAAAAGCAACAGGAAATGGCCAAGAGGACAAGAGGAAATGGCCTCAAGATGCAGCAGGGGAGGTTCAAGTTGGACATCAGGAGAACGTTCTTCACTGAAAGGGTGGTTTAGCGTTGGAAAAGGGTGCCCAGAGAGGTGCTGGTGTTGAACCACTGGACCTGGCACTCAGTGCCCTGGTCTGCTTGACAAGGTGATAGGTTGGGTTCAATGATCTTGGAGGTCTTTTCCAACCTTAACGATTCTGTGAAAGACTTCCACTTGCCTCTTGCTTGTCTGGAAAATCTGGTATCAAAGGCATCAGATCTGGAAGCTGGAAGTAATACTTCAAAGAAAACATACTAAGAGGTTTTGCTGCCTTGGACTTCACTGATTTTCACGGGGGTTTGGCGTCACGGTCTGTGTAGGTGAATTTGAACTCCAGTTTCAGGGAGCGTCCGGCACCGCTCACCCTCTCCTGCCCTTTCCTTCAGTGCATGGCTGAGAGGAGCCCAGCGCAGCGCCCGAGCCGGACCCACCGGACCCTGCACCAACTCCCGCCCGCGGCACCGAGCCGCCCTCACGGCGCGGGGCCGAGCACGGGACACAGCCAGCAACGCCCCCAGCAGCCGGCGAGCCCACGCCGCAAGTACCTCTGGGAGTTGTGGTCCGCTTCGGCGGCCTCTGCCCGCCCGGCCCGCGCCTGGCGGGGCTCCATGCCCCGGGGCTGTCCCTTCGTGCCATGTCGGGGCACTTCTTCGTCCGTCGCGACCCCTCGGCGTCCTCTCTGTCTGGGAGGGATGGAGGGAAAAGTAGACGGAACTACTCCAGATAGAACTACAGCTCCCGGCGTGCGCTGCGCTACAGACCAGTCAACGGGGCGGGGGGAGCCGGTGAAGATGGCGGCTGCTAAACGGAGCCGGATGGGAGGCTGAGGTGAGTTTGGGGCAGTCGGGCAGTGCTTCTGCCACTCGCGTCCATCCTCGCAGTCTCCTCCTCGTTGCGATCTCTCTCTTCTTTCCCCTTCTCCACGCTTGGGAACGAGGAGGACGCGCCAGAGGGGTGGGCGCTGAGGGAGTGGCGGGAGTCTCGGGCCGCCAGGTTGGCGCGGGGGAAGAAGCCTCCGGGCATGGCCTCAGCCTGGACGCGCCGGGGCAGTGGCTCGGGCGGTACCTGCGGGCGCTGCTCCCGGTGGAAGGGCTGGCAGGCTGGCTCCCGGTGGAAGGGCTGGCTCCCGGTGGAAGGGCTGGCTCCCGGTGGAAGGGCTGGCTCCCGGTGGAAGGGCTGGCTCCCGGTGGAAGGGCTGGCTCCCGGTGGAAGGGCTGGCTCCCGGTGGAAGGGCTGGCAGGCTGGCTCCGTGGAAGGGCTGGCTCTCCGGCTCTCCGCCTCCGAACGAGCTCCGGGGACAGTGAGCGGATGCCCCCGCTTTCACCGGGCAGGGCTGTGGCTTTGAGAGTTCCCTCAGCAGGTTTTTCTCAAATGGACCTTAAGACAGCGAGATAATAACTGAACGCAATGTAAATTGGCAGGAAGGCGACACTGTGAGCTTTCTTGGCTTCTTCTTTAAAGTTAATTGTGCATCACGGAGCCATGCTTTAGGTAATTGAGGTGTGGGTTCACGAATCCTGTGACTGAAAACCATAGTACGACGTCTCTTTTGGATACATCTAGAAAGGTATCCCGTGGTCCTTTGAGCTGAGATACAAGGAAGAAAAGATTGTGGTGTACATTGTGTCTGTGCTGCTGTAGGACTTGTGGGAAAGCCTATAACTAACTTTAAACCAGAGTTTGAGTTGCTGTATCAAAACCCAGTTTGCTAGCCCAGGTGTTTCACTTTGCAGAGCTACATCAATGTTTGCTGTGCAAACTGAGTAGGTAAACTAAACGCAGTTAACAGCCAAAGCTTTGGGATTTTATAGGTAGTTACTTCCTAAAGCATTTGTGATTAATTCTAAATAATATGAAATATTTCTCAAGTATGTTCGGGACATCTTGCTTGAAGACTTGGTGTTAATGCTCTTAAACATATGGTAAAATTTTTTTGAGAAATTGGTGGCTTGGAGAGGAAATCTTGATTGTCGTGCTCTGATAGGCCTAAAGGCTTATCCATAGGTTTAATTTAAGCCTTTTGGCAACAATTTTAATATTTGTCTAAAAAAGGCTGCTAGAATGAGATTGACTTCTGATTCAGGGAAAAAACTTACAAAAATGTAATTAAAATACACTTTGTGATTAAACATCTGTTTTAGATGTTGCCAATGTTTGCAGTTCATGATGGACAGTAACTTCTCTCTACTTCTGATCCAAGCTCGTGCAGTAGAAAAGAATGAAAAAATTTTATGTTGCATGTAAGTTGAAGGGGGTGTGAAAATACTCACCAGAGTTGGCATTATAATTCAATTATAATGATAAAATGTAAATTATAAAAAGTACGGGTTAGAAACAGCTTTATTTGGTGTCAGTGACTTTTAACTGCCCAGCTTAGCTCCATAAGGAAGTAATCCTTGTAAAGTTACCACACGATTTTTAAACAATTCGAAGGTATGTGATTTTTTTGAAGTGAAAGCAAATAATGCTTTCTGTCGTTGCATTCTGTCTTGGGCAAGAGAGCAGGGTAGTCTCATTGACTGAGCCAGCTTCATACATGGCATTTCCTCTCCTGTTGAGAAGGTAATTCAGATTAAAGCCAGGTATTTCCCAGAATTACTGTGGTATGTAAATCCATTTTATATTGCATTTTTTGGGTTCTGGGAATCACAGTTGGAGCTTAACTGTCTATACTTAGGAATGAACATGTGATTTATTAATCTTGCATTGCACTGGCCATTTGCCTACTTTCAAAGCTAAAGGCATTGATTAATTTTTCAAAGAGGAAATATGAGTGGGGAGCTAAGTGATTTATAAAGTAAATGTGCAGTGGATTTTTAATTTTTCAGTTCATGTCTGTGTGGCTGTGAGAGGTGCTTAAGCCTCTGCCTTTATTTGGCTTAAGTTGGAGGAAGGAAAAGGAGCCCAGATGGCAATTTCATTTTGTAGACTCAAAATCAATTTAAATATTTATGGTGTTACATAATAGCATAACAGAGGGCTTATTGGAAGAAAATAGAAAATCTCAGGTATGCTGACTTCTCTTGCTTTACCTGTAGCACAAGGTTATATAATTTTTTCCATTTTAGGTCTTTTAGAGAGGTCCATTGTATTAGGGCGTACAGGAAAACAATCTCTGATTTTCTGTTTGGCTTTCAATGCCATTTCTGGAATCTTGTGATAATAAGAAATATTTGTGCTTATAAACTATCCTTCAATTTCAGATCCTGGGTTAGTTAATAAAAAAAAAAAAAAGGAACAAGCTGTATTTTTATCCTTGTTCTGATGAACAATAAATTTGCCTTGGGTTTCCTAGCCAAATGATGTAAAATCATCTCAAAAGAAAACTGAGGGTTTTTCTGTAGAAGAACAATTTTGTGTGTCATGCAAGTGTTCCTCTGTCTTTTAAGGTACATTAAGTAGCTTTGCACTTTGGTTATCATTACATTTAGAACTATTGTTATATCCTTAGAAAAAACACAATGACCTTAGTCCTCCCCAGAAAAGTAGGTAAGATTTTGTTTACCTTCTTAATATCCAGGAGTCAGTTGCTTTGGTGAAGAAACAGTGTGTGGTATTTGATATCCAGAAGTTGCATCTGGTGATCTGTCACATGTCACAAATTGACATGGAATGTGTTAAACAGCAAGTGTTAGGCTTGGAAACTAAATGATATCACATGATTTTCCATAGTTCCCTTTCAATTAGCTAAGATCTCCTTCATCAAATTCGGGGCAGGGTGGGTGGGCCAGTTTCCCTCTTTTGTTAGGTAAAATTTTAGCTCAGTGACAAATAGCTGAGCAAACTCAAGAGTGGAAACCAAGAGAAGAGTTGGTTTGGTTTAGTTCAGTTCTGCTGTAACAGTGACAGCATGTGTGGATGAAACTTCGTCCTAGGCCAAGTGAGACAGTGATTGAAGACTTTATGGAGAGGAAATTGTGTGCTCTGTTCTGCATGTAGCAGCCAGGCCACCTCCATGTGGAATTTTTGGTCCTGTTACAGTTCATAAAATGATTAAAATCCTAGTGAATTACTTTAAAACAGATATTTTCTATATGTCTTAGTTGATACAACTTTTCTAGTAATCTATGCAGAAGACTCTTCTAAAAGTCTTGTAAAAATGAGTTTACTTTGCTGACAGCAGTAGTTGTGTTTTAGGAAAATGTATTGAATTCCTGATTTCTGGAGATGATCAGTAAAACACTCTTGAGTCTCTGGCACTTGACTCTCTGAAACTCTCACCAGGTTCTCTGCTTTTATATTTTCTTTTATGTCAGTAAATGTGTTTTCTGTAGTGTTTCAGCTAGGTCCATAACTGCATTCTGAACCAGAGATTTTGCTTCTCCATGTGTCTGTTGGACATGACAATCTGCAGCATGTTTCCTTTAATAAAATTGCACTGTTTCTCATGCTGCCCTTGGAGAGGGACATACAGCTTTCTAATAGATGGGATATTTTAAATAACTTACTTTGAAGTACTATATTTAATCCCAGTTGCTGTCAGCAAATTGGAAGCTTTGATTGAAATGCATATACAAGAATAAAGTTTATTTTTAGCAACTATGAGCATTGCTTTAATATGTGGTCATTAAAACATATGTTGACCAAATGAAATGTTTATTCTCACATTATCCATCCATGGAATTACAATTTTTTGGTGTATGTATACATACAGTTATTAGCTGAATATCTTTTATTTTAAAATTTATTTGATTTTTGAAGAAAGCAACACCCAGTATCATTAACTGAGATTTTGTTCTTATTTGTGGAAAAGTACATTTGTGGAGAGTTTGCATTTGGCAATTAGTAAATACAGAAAAATCTTCAAATAATTTGCATTTTAGTGCTAATCAGAGGAACAGTAGATTTGGCTACTTTTATATCCGAAATAGATTGTTGTAACTTCAGATGAATTAATTTTATGAATATATTTAATTGCATCAAAAATCCTTTGAGCTGCTATTATGTATAGAGGTTGCACTCTGATCTAAAATCTGCCTTTTTTGATACTGGGAGAAAAATGCCCTAGAAAGGGTCACACAGGTTTTTCAGTTGTTTTCTGTGATGAGCAGAAGCCTCTCTCAGGCATTTTAACAGGGGAGAGCTGTGGTTTAGAGCTGAAGTGGAAATATCCTGTGAGATGTGCAGGATTTATCATCCTAAACAGTGGCACTTGGGAAGGTCACTATACACAGCAGAAAAATGTTTACTCCAGCATCAAAGGCAAGAACAGAATGACTGCATTTCAGGAACAGGCAAAATCTCCATCTAGTCTGGTCAGCTAAGAGGATATCTGGATTTCTGTGGTAACAGCCTCTCTGGTATTGGAGCTGAAGAATGCTCATTCTGCATGAGTTACTGAGCATATTTGGATGGAAATTGTCTTAAGCTATGGTCTTGACTTTGCTTTTTTGTTTGTTTTCTTCATAGTTTCTTATGTTTTTACAAAATTGAAGACAGATCCCCGACTAAAAATGCCTGGCAGTAAGTATTCTTACCTTAAGTACACTGAGACAATATTTAGGAGTGTTTACTGTTATTTTCTTTGGGGTTTAAAAATTAAAAAAAAATACAAAAATAAGCATTATACTTGCTGTCATTTATAAGAATTTTAAGATGTTAATGTTATCTAGTCTCTGCATTTGTAAATCTCCATATATTTTACAAATAATAATGTGAGCTTTGCATTTGCCTTTTTGATTACAGCTTCACAGTATAACATTGAATTTTGTGATTTAGACTGTGTTCTGAAATAGTTGGATTCAAAAATTAAAAAAGATATTTTTGATATTAAAAAGCTATATTTTGATATAGCTATAATCCTATCTTTGGAAAATGACAACTAGTGTTTATAGAAGATAGAATTGCTATTTAGGATAAAAAGTGATGAGACTTAAAATTTTTGACATTCAAAGCTAAGTGAGATTTTTGAGGCAAATGTTTCTAAGAATCAAATTATTTACCTTCAAGAGTAGTAAATTTCTCTAACTCAAAGGATCAAGTTATAAAATGTGTTAGAAAAGCATAAATTTAACTAATCCTTTAATCATTTTTTCTGTTTAGAAAAAATTCTATGTGATCTATAGTAACATTGCTAACACCAGTCTTTGGATAAAGCAATCTGCTTTATCAAAAAAGTTACAGTACCAGTCATACTGAGTGCATTCTGATTCATGGATGCTTGATTTCATGAGGAAGTCTTTGAGCATTTGTTCATTGCTGTGATTTGTAATAAGCTGTGACTGTGGGCACTAGAAATGCCTTGCAGTAGTTCTGTGTTGTGTCAAATACCTTACTCTAAGTAAGATGTGTCACACCTGTCATGTGAAGCAGTGAGTGGAATTTTTTTAACCAATTAAACTGGAAAAGTAAAGTGGTTTTGGTTTGTTTGTTTGTTTGTTTTTGTTTGTTTGTTTTGGTTTTTTGGTTGGTGGTTTTTTTTCTTGTTTAAACCAGATGAGCTTATGTTTAGAGTCATTAATATCAATGCAAGTAGAGTTTGCATTACTGCAGTCAGATGGGAGTTAAAGAAGACCAAAAGAACTGATTGCAATGTTTATCTGTGCAAGACACTCAGAACTACACAGCCATTTATTTATCTTTGCCTGTATTTATGAGTGTAACTGCATGGGTGAAGAAAAGGAGAGCTAACAGATGTGTGCATTGCAATTCTTGGGAAATAACAGTATTTTCATAATATTTTACTTCCAAAAGTTATGGCAGAGAAGAAGTACAATGGGATTTTAAGGCAAGCAAGCATCCTTTTGTGGCTGGTTGTACTTCTGATCAGTAGAGATAGAGCCTTCAGGAATTCAACTCTGTTGCATGTGGAAAGGAAATCTTCTGCCTGCTAATTTAGGCTTCTCTAAAGGTTCCATAGGATTCTTTTCAGAGCATGTTGATGAAGCAGGCTGCTGCTCCAGTGTTACTTTGAAATCTTAAAGTATCTGTCCTTGAAATCTGAAAAACTCAGTTGTTTCTAAAGGCTGGGGGATTTTGTGTGTTGTTTTTATTTTATTTTATTTTCACATGAAGTTCTCTCATCCCACAAATCAAGAAGTGCATATAAAACTTATTCCTAAACAAAAGGCTGTTATGGTGAGCTTTTTCCAAAAATATTTTCTGTCATGTTACAATGAAGAAGAAAAATAGTGTCTAGTTAACAGGAAATTTTGATAGAGTTCTTGGGTCATACTGAGCAACTCCCATAGCCACTACTGCTTTGTTTTTCCTGGGCCTGTGTAGCAGTTCCTGGTGGTAATTTTATCCCTCCTCGCCTTCCTACAGTAGTTGAATGAATGTATAGGTCTGAAGGCAGTGTTCTGGAATACTATGAGAAATCCAGATGACTGGTATTACAGAAAGACTGAGTAAAAGCTTAATTAGTCTTTCTGGGGAATTCAGCTGTACCTGGTGATATTTCAGAGGTCAGTATTGAAGTTACTGTGTGTGAAACACTGACAGGACAATATGCTTTTTAAGTCCTTCAATATAAACTATGGAAAAACAGGCATTAGTCAGAACTGGGCTGTGGTACTGAGAGGGGGGAGATGAACAAAGGTCCTTAGCCAGAGGTGATGGATGCTCTTCTCTTTGAACCTCAGCTCAGCCATGGCTGCTGGGCTCTGCACAAGTTGCTCATTGCATATTTGGATTATCCCATTTTCTATTGATGTTTCTGCTTAGCAGTCTCTCTTAGGAATGTGGGGATTTAGTGCTGCATTAAGTCCTAAAAAATGTTAAGATTTTAGTCTCAATGCAGTTACAATAGCCCAAATAGAAAATTTTCAGTCTGCTCTCTTTACCTTGAGAAGTAAAAGTTCTTGGCTTTGACCAGCCATGACAAGGCATTTGTGTTGACATCTGCAGTGGAGGTGTGGTGCTCTGTCATTGCTGCAGCACTTGGATCAACCTTGCCAAGGTGTAGCTTTTCCTGTACTTTTTATGTTTAACTTTGTTACAAGTTTTTCTTGTGCAAAAAGGATGGATATTGATGCAAATGATTACAGACATGCATGGTGTCTTCAGCTGAAGCTGAAATGCAAATTCTGAAATGTTGAGAAAGCAAATGTGTTTTCTCATTTCTGATTGAGTACAGTAGGAGTAGGTTTGAACCACAGGTGTTTTAGTAACTGTTTAAGGTGTGCTTTATCAAAAGAAACTGGAGTAAAAGATTAAATAGTGCTTTTATTTAAAAGTGAAGCCAAAGAATATGTAACCAGATAGCCTCTGCAGTAGAGGCTGTATGTGTTTCTCACTTGCCTTGTGTTCTCTCAGTTTCCCTGTTGAATAATTTGTGCAGATAATTTCATTAACATTCTGTTATGGAGCATGGGTGGTTTTGGTAGGGTTTTTTATTGGCTGCATTTGGATTGAAAATGCTTCTGCTAAGGAGAAAAAGCATTAGCTAAGTCATATCAAAATATTTGTTGAAGACTCTTTTTGAACATTATGTTCTGGATATTCGCACTTAATCAGATGTTTGAAACACAGCTTGGTAGATAGTGAGGTTTTTCTTTTCTAGAAACAGCTGACCTACTTACTGGATGTATTCCCTGACTTTAGTGAAATGTTTAACTTTAAAGGCAGCTTTTATACTAAAATGAAATTGCTTGAACTAGGAGAATTATATGTGACACAGGTGAGAGCACCTGTTGGCTATAAAAATATTTTACTTTTGGGAGCTCTGTGTTTGAATTTTTTAAACTTTTTCTTAGCTTATTCTTTTCTCCTTTGGCTTATGCCATTAGCATAACTATATCTTTGGTTTTCAAGATTTTGTTAATAATAATTGTTAAATTGTTTTTAACTGATTAGCAGGTCCTTATGATTGACTCTAACATATAAATTAAGAGACGAAATAAATAAAAATAAGGATTTTGCCAAATGTAATGTTCCCACATTCTTCCTTCGATTTATGGCTGTGAAATGTAGTAATATGAACACCTCCCACATCTTCTGTCAGATATTTGTCAGTTGGAAAGGGACCATTCTGATTTAAGAGGTACATATATTAGTTATGTAGAAAATATTCCATGATTTGGCCTGTTCTTGGTTGCAGTGAAGAGGCAGTTTGGTGACTCAGAATGGCTCCAAGCATGCTCATTAAAGTACATAATATTTTATTTTCTTGGCCTCCCAAACACCATGTGGCTTTTTGGCCCTTGTCAGTGTAGGGCAGCTCCTCTGACAGCAGGTGAGTGTGTGCTGGTGGCTTCCCTGCTTCACCTGTGCAAGGTGAAAACAAACAGAAGATGGAACAACTGAGTAGTGCCTGTCAGTTTCTGTATTCATGCATGCTGCTTCTTTCCTTGTGTTTCTTCATGGTCTTCAAACAAATAAATGACCCACTCCTCCCTCAAACCCAAAAATACCCATCAAACTTTAAAAATTATAATTTTCTATGTGCACAGAGTTTTTCTTGCCAAGTGTAGGAGGGAAAACAGCACTTGAAATGGAATTTGAAATGAGTGAATTCTTAACTGGCATTTAACATTTTTTAACACATTTTAAGAGGCAGATAACTTCCTCATTTTGGTTTCTCCCCTCCCAACAATTTTGGGAATATCATTTATTTGTGTTTTGTGATTCTAGTTTTTATTGTGTATGTATAATAAGTAAGTATTAACAAGGTTGGTAATGGACAGAGAAGATTTATTGCCTTGTGAAATAAAATTCTGAAATACCAGTGACAGGAGATGTGTTCCTAAATGTGTCAGTATAAATATTTCAGGGACTAAGCTTTCTAATGTTTTTAGTGAAAATCAAGCCATAGTTCTCATTAATTACTGTCTCCACTCTTTCCATCCATCATACTTTTTTCCTCATCTGGAATATGGTTCTCATGTAGCCTTCACACTTTACAATGGGACCTGCTACTTAATAAAGCACTTTTTGTAATCTCTTAGTTTATTTTTTAGGCAGGAGAAACCCTCTTAATTTTATGACAGCATTATTGACTACTTAAAACAGTGTTAAATAGGTTATCATTCTGTAACATTTTCATACTTCAGCTATTACAGAAGAGTTACATCAGGAGGTGTCTGAGATTTTTGTTTGCTGCTTGATTCTGGTATTTTAGGATGAGACACATCAGGGGCCCTGTATCATGTCCTTTTCAACTACTAACCTAAAGGACCACAGGAACTTGGAAAACAGCTGCCAGGGGAAGGCCATGGTTTTGGGCTTCCTTTGGCAGTTTGCCACTTGCTAGGACTAGGCCAAAAAAGGGAAATAATTATTTCAGGATGTCTGTAACTATTACAATGCTATGGTTGCAGAATATATAATAGATTCTTTGCATGATAATATGCAAGAATTGCTTTCAATACGAAAACAGCTACAGGGTTTTTTTCAGGTGACTGCATTGAAAAGAAAAAGTAGTAACTTCTCCAAATGTATCTTTGATTTAGCTAAGAAAAGAAACAAAACAGGAACTTGCAGCTGGAAAACTGTAGCTCTTTGTGCATCTGTTTATTTAACTCATGGTACCTTAAACAACTTTGTGTGCTACCAAATTGGTGCTTCCTTATTTAATGAATACACGTGGATTTCTTTAAGACTTGTTGATTTGGAGCAAGTGTTCCTTTTATTGTTTTCTGCTAGCTGTCATTTCTATGTACAGATCATCCTAGCCCTGTTTGGGAAAGTTAATGTTGAGGAGCAGTTCCATAGAGAGTCAAAACCATTCATATTAAGATAAGACATGATGAGTGATATCATCATCATCATTCATCCTTCCATTTCTTCCATTTGGAACACTCTTTAATAAAGCCAAGAAATGAACAATGGTGTTTCATCCATTCCTTTTCAAAACATGAAGAAATATTTTTCTTCAGTTGTTGTTACTTCTGTATGCACAATCTGGGCATCTAAAATAAAAAATTAAATTCTTTGAAGATGAGCTTCATTCAGTGCTCATCACAGCCTTTGTGTGTTTTCAAACTGTATGTGGACATTTCCCCAAATATTAAAATGTAGCTTAGTAATTTTTAGGGGCTTTATTAAAATATGGCTGTCGTTGTTATTTACAGAAATGGCTTTGCAGCTATCAGTCGATTAATCTTCATGTGCAGCCTTGTTTGCTATTGATTTCTGAATCATGGGACGAAAGGGTAAGAAGGCTCATGCTGATTGTGCATGCAAGTGTCCTATTTTTTTTGTGCATGACAACAAAGCAAAATTGATTTTGGGGAGTGGGGATAAGATTTCCATTATGTGATTAAATGCATGTCTCTGGAAAAGCCACGTTGAACTCCTTTTAAAAGTGTTTTGGCTTTCCCTATATGGACTTTCCTTCCCACCGCTGGCCCTTATGAACCTCAGTAGCTCTCTAGGGAATCATGTTCCTTGTGGATTGCTGAAGATCAAAATTAGCTGTGTACAGCACTCTTGGCTTTCAAAGAATGCTATTTTATTTCTAGGAAGTTACATTATTCAAGATTAATTCATGCAGGAATTAGATAGAAATTAATAAGAGGTGGTTAGGTAGATGAATGAAACTCTTCCAAGTCTTCTGAGAGTTCAGGAAGCATTTGGACAATGCTCTCAGGTACACAGTGTGATTCTTGGGGTGGTCCTGTGCAGGGCCTGGAGTTGGATTTGATCTTTGTTGCAACCCTTCGTAGTCAGAATATTTTACAATTCTGTAATTCCAAGTCTAACAACTTGTTGATCCCAAGACTTCAAAAATAGCTGGTGCTTGTGTAACTCGTGTCCTGCTTGAGGTCTGTTGAAGGTCTCAGTCCTTTCATTTTTCAAGAAGAGCACAGTTGTGATTCTAAATTGTACTTTGACCTACCTGTTATGGTGTTTTGTTGATAACAGTCTGTACTTTGGCTGGAAGTGGGCACCCTGAGTCTTTAATTGTGCTTTGAGCATGCTTACTCATTCCTTAGCAAGAGAATGAGAAAGGAATTCCAATCTAACACTAAGCTATATAATTATGCTAAATCAGTGCTCCTTCCTGATACTTTTGTAAAGCTGCTAATGCGTAAGGAAATCGGTGAAGATAAAGCTTCATGGATATTTTGTTAGAAGTGCACTAACAAATACCCAATAATTTATGCTATTAAAAAAAAATTCCTGTGTTTGTTAAACTAGGGTGTAACTGTGTAATGATTAGGAAAGGACTTTAGGATGATGACACCCTATTTGTGAACTTTATATGTAATAAAATATGAATAGTTATAATTGATCTGTGTCTGACATGATTGAGCTGGCAGAGTTCTCTTGTCTCATAATAAATGCAGTGCAGGCTGTTTTCAAGACTTTCTATGTGTTTGTGGCTGTTCTATTAAATGAGGTTTTGATCCATTACTGACATTGGTTTAGACATGAGCTTGAAGTTCCTCAGAACTGACAAAATATAATTTGTGCAAATTGAGTCTGATGTTGGAATTGCAGTGTGGTTAGAAGTGCTGGTTGTGGGCAAGAACTGCTGGATTGCTGCAGAAACCAGTGAGCTTGTGTGCCCACAGATGTCCTGTCTGGTTTCTACAGAAAGCTGAGGCACTCAAGATTCACTGTTTAACAAGATTTATTTATTAGATGTAAGATGTGTTATTAAAATGACTTCTTTGTGTCTAGATGCAAAACTGTCTGTCTCTTCCACTGACCATCTTCTAGACTGGCCAGTTCAGTCTGGTGGGAAACAGAAATTGTGGTGGAAAAGGGACTTGCACAGTCTTTAGGTATTGAAGGTGCCCAGAAGAGCAAATCACTGTGTCTGTTCCTCTCTAACTGATTACACATTACAGGAAGGGAGAAATTGCTTTTTAATCAGCTGGGATATGTGGTTCTAGATAGGGATATGTTCCAACCTTATATCCCACTGCTTGGGAGAAGAGCTACATTTCACTTCTTGGGGGAAACCTAAATTGAAGATGAAGTACTCTTTAGAGCTAATGGGAAAGATAACAACCATGACAACATTTTATAATTCGTATTGACCTATAAGGAGGGTTTTCTTCAGTGAAATTGAATGTCTTTCATGTCTATGTTTAAAACTGTGTTGTACATACTTCTGTTTGCTGGATTGTTCGAAAGCTGCTCTTCTGTGAGGGCAGGATGAACAAGGCAAAACTGTTTTCAGGGAAAGGAAGACATGGAAAATTGAGTGTATTGGCAGCTCCAAGGGCCTGTTCTTGATAATATGTAAAGAGATTTTTTTTTCAAATTTTTGATTCCATATTCTTTTAATGTTCTTTTACTTTTAAGGGAAGCATGTATGTTTCCAAGTCCAAATGGCAATATCTCATTTTGTAAATGCTTTCTGGGAAAGTCAAACAGCTAGGAATAGACACAAGCAGAGCACTTAATTGAAGATTGGTGATATTTAAACAAGAATTTTAATTCTGAAGCCTAAGTATCCTCTGTGACTGTTTTTCAAAGTAACATTACTACATTTTTGTTTAGTGTTTTATTTTTCATTAATGTCGATACAGTTTAAAGACTTTTGTTACTGAACAGGAGCAGATGCTTTGTCATGTTTTGAGCTCTGTGTATGTGCCTCAGCAGAATTGCTCCACTGTTTTCTCAGCATAAATATCACAGTATGGTTCAAGATTCACAGAAACACTTTCATCCACTCTTATGTTACTTTCTGTGTACATTGTGTGTGTATGCAGGAAATAAAATGTATGTAATGTGGTTTTGAACTACTTGTGAACAGAACATTTTTCTTTTAATTAGGAAATGTTTTTCAAAATCTGTGCAAATTTATTGAAGCCTGTAGCTGGGTTTGCTTAAATGAAGGTAAAACTTGTTTTTGAAGCTCTGATCATGCTTATATTGGTATTTGGGATGTTTTAATAGAAGAAAGCATCTATAGAACATATTCTATAAGAAAGCATCTATCTTACATATTCTATAAACAGGTCAGTGCTTTATGTTGAACTAGTTAAAATCTAGTTTCCTGAGCTAAGCTTATTTTCTCCATTAGCTTTGAGGGTTCCAGAGAGAAGGCCTGGGAACCTTTGTTTCCTCATCATCAGGACTTTTAATCATGACATACATGCAATGTTTCCCTCAGAAAACCTCTGGTGCCTTGTTTTTCAAGTGGCAGTGTGGTACCTACTCCCCTGGTCTGTTTCAGCCCTGGGGGTTTGGCCAGGTGAGCTGCAAGGCACCGTTGGGCAGGAGTGGAGAATTAAATCCTCCCAGCCCACCTACTTCAGTGAGGAGGTGATGCCTCAGTTCTGAGCATCCATTTTTCTGAGGAAAAAGATGGGCAGCAGCACAAGATTCTCGGAGTTCTTACCACTACAGCTGTTATTCCTCCCCTGTGGATTGGATTAAGAAAGCAAACTGCATCATCTTAAGGAAATAGAAAAAGTAGGAGTCATCAGAAAAATTCTTCATGTGGCTTTACATTCAGATTTTTTCAATGCACAGAGCTTCAGGTGCTTTCCTTCAAAGAAGACTTGAAACCCTGGTGGGCACTTGCTGACCAGTTTCTCACTGGTTTGAGGTAGGCTTGTTGTCTGTAGGGCAGGTGATAGTTTATCAGTGCCATCCCTATAGCTCTCTTCAAATAATAAGATGTGTAGTATTGACAAAATTTTCATGAAATTCTGTAACTAGAGAGTGTTTGACACTTTTCTATCAGTTTGTTGATGCAGGGAAGCAACAACTTCCAAAGCAGAATACACTACTCTGTAATGCAGATTTCAGTTGACCAAGAAGATAAAACTATTGACATCTTGGCAACTTTCCTATGTGTCAGGAGCTATTCCAGTTACTCTTAGGATGCTGACCCTGGAATTAAAACAGCTGCTGAAAAGCAGAACCATTCATGGTGTTTGTGTTTTGAGATGCCAAGTAATCTCTATGTGCTGCTTCCCTAAGCTTGAGAACTTAAAGGTTCCATTAATTATAATTTCTAGAGTTGTACCTAGATCTGTGCTTTTGTCCAGCTTCCCATTGATTCCCCTCTCATCCTCATGTATAAAGGGAGGTGTTCCTCTAATGGCAGTAGCTTAATCCACATGAGTCCCTGTGGCAAAACAGAAGCAAGCAGCAAGTGTTAAAACAACTCTTTTCCTTGCTGTGTCCAGTAGTATGAGGAAATGCAGTGGAAGGGGAATTGTGGAACATCTAGACTAGAAATTTTACGAGTAACTGGGCCTGGGCAGCAGGGCATAAAGAAAGTCCTTGTCAGCAGTCTGCTGTGCTGCCTGGGGCTGGAACTGAGAAGAAAAGGTCTGACCAGCACAAGCATCTGGGAGGCATTCTGCAGCCTGGACTTAGTCACCAAAGTACTGAGCCTTTCAGACAAGTGTATATATTTTTACCAGTAGTTGGCCAACCTGCTGACCAGAATTGTGGTTTGAAGGCTCCTGAGGCAGAGAGTGACCCTTTTGGAATAATTTTCCTCTGGCAAACCTCTAGAACTGCTTCTTACCTCTGGCCACCCTGGAGAAGGGCTAAGTGTTGCTGCTTGGCCTGTCACCTTTCAACCATGCCTTGTGTAGCGTCTTTCCTTTCCTTCAGTGTCTGTCTCAATCCAGAGGTGCACCAGCCTCTTCTGGTCTTCTGTCTTTGATGTTTCTTCCTAACCTGCCCCAGACAGGGAACCAAGTGGTAGAAGTGCAGGTGTTGCAGCCCCTCTTCTCAGTGGAGTGTTAAGCGAGTTAGGTGACTTGGCCTTTGAGCACACATGACATTTACAGTATTCTTCTCCATCCCTGCAACTCTCTTCTGCACCTGGCAAGTGTTCAAGGATGCAGCATTCTGAAAATGACTCATCTGGGTAAGAGAATAGCTTAGGGTCACGGTGAAAGCAGGCTTTGAGCAGAATTGTCTGGAGCTCAGAGGCTGCTTCTATGCCAGAATCGTCACTGTGCTGGGAATTTTCCATTCTCTGGTACCCATGGATGCTGGGAGGAGCCAGGCATTTGGAGAAGCAGATAGGTGGGTTAAGTAGCAGGAGTAGAACAAGGACACGGTGATAATGCCTATCCTTCTTTACCTCTTTTATCCAGAATTTAATAGCAGATAAAGAATGTCCTGCTGGCTCAGTGTGTTACTGGATGTGCGCAGTGGATGTTTTGTCAGTGCCAGGAGTCTGCTCCATGCTCTGCTCTTTGCCTGGATGGAGGGACAAAAGCAGTTC